TGTAAAGGTAATTAATTTCGTATTCGATAATATCGATTGGGATACCGAAGTACCGATTGGGATACCGAAATATTTAGGGATTGAGATTGGGATACCGAAATTATTTAGGAATTGGGATTGGGATTGATTCTAGGGTGTAATTCGGTATTTGGTATTGGGATACCGATACCGTACCGATTTCCACCCCTAATCACACCTAGGACCCGGGTTGACAAATAAAGCTAAACCCGTTATACTACGCATTAGTAGGTGGTTACACTTGGCCACTTTCTAGTGTGACGGTAAAATCGAGTCCGGGGTCTGACGAGACAACTTCCTTTTTTATTTAGGATTCCTTTCCTTTTATGTGTTTGGACAATTTTTGTTGTTCGCCTAACCCATATATAGGCTTAAACACGAGTTTTAGGGTGGATTTTGAAGAATATTGATTTTTATCTTGGTTCATTGAGTGTTTTGCTTATGAATTGTTCTCTGTATCAATCGAGTTTCCCCTTGATTGTGGTCGAGATTCTACCTTTATATTGATAGAGTCTTCTCCCAGGTGTGAGATTGCACTTCAATTCCGCCATATCCTTATTGTTTTATTCCTGTTCTTAACTGCATTACTTTGATAACTACGGGTATCGGTGCCATGTGAGAGCGAGAAGGTGGACGGGTGAAAATCCCCAGATTTTTAGAGACACCCTTGGGATTTTCCAGGAGCTATTCCTCGGAGTCAACAACATTTTACCCGCCCGGGAAATTGAAGACCCGACCCAGGGATCGGGGATCAGACAAGACAACTTCCTTTTCGGTTTAGGAAGCCTTTCCTTTTATGTGTTTGGACGAGTTTTTTTGTTTCCCTAGCCTATTTAAAGGCTTAACACGAGTTTTAGGGCATATTTTGAAGAAAATTGATGTTATCTTGGTTCATTGAGCGTTTTGCATGTGAATTGTTCCCTGTATCAATCGAGTCTTCCCCTTGATTGTGGTCGAGATTCTACCCTTATATTGATAGAGCCTTATCCCAGGTGTGTGATTGCACTTCAATTCTACCCTATCCTTTTCTTTTATTCATGTTCTTAGCTACGTTACTTTGATAACTATGCGCACCATTTCCGTACTCGTATCAGCCACATGAATTTTACGTATGTAGGCATGTATCCATACAACATATAATAGTATCGAGAAAGACCATACTAGTACCCAGACAATTCATGAAAGTATAAAGACAATGAATTACAAGCTAATATCCAATTTGAAACCACTATTATTCAAGGTATACTAATTGATATCCACCATAAAATAAACTAGTATTCCACAATAGCCAACCGTTATCTAGATAACATAGAACTGTATCCAAACATAATAGTTCTAGAATTAAAGGTTTATTAACTTATATCCATTGTAAAATAAACTAGTATGCAAGGTTTTCTAACTGATATCCATCATGAAATAAACTAGTATTCCACAATCACGAACTGATATCTTTTATCAAACCAACTAGTATTCATTGTCTGCTAAACAATATCCAGCATGAAACCAAATAATATTCCAGAATAAACAAGTGAAATCCATAATAAAAAAAGTCATTTTCAAAAAAGCAGAACTGGTGTCAAACCTCGATACAACTAGTATACAAAGCCATTTCAACATGGCAATTATAACACTCAAAACAAAAAAAGTACAACCACTTAAAAATAATAAGAGGAAAAGTTCAAATGTTGTTTTGTTGGCCCAAAATCTCAACAATCTTTTGGACCTTTGGGCTCTGAGCCACCCACTTAAGGACCATGCTCTTAGTCATTGACTTCAATGCATTAAGCTACACATATGTTGTAAAACATTTAGTTAACTATATGCAACCATATCTACCAACACACAATCTTAAGTAGCAATGACAACATTTACATACCTGGTTTATGTCAAGGCTGATCAAATCCTCGTTCTCCCACCATTCTGTCATGGGAAACTCAACAATATCTGTAGGAGGAGTTGAGTTGCTTTGCCTTGGTTCCCCCGAACCCTCAACTGGCTTAGGGTCTTGTTTCGAGGAGAGGGATCTGACTTCTTTCCTACTCAGCAACACGGAAGCCAGGTCATATCTTTCCTGTCAACCTTAGGGACAACTTCAAATGCCTTCTTCACCCTTTATTCCACCAATACCTACAGCTCGGCGTGGTTTTGGTGAGCAAACCTCATACTCTAAGAAAGTCTAGCAAATGGAACTACAAAAAAAATAGTAAATTTAAAAATGTTAAGTTAGTATATAAAAAACTAGAACAAAACAACACATATAGCTCATAAATTTACTATCAAGAAGTGGACATCCCGAAGAAGCCACAAGTTCTTCACTCTCTTAGCCCTAGTAGCAGGTTCTTTTCTATTACAAGTAGCCAACTCCACTTTCAGCTCACAGACAACATGATCACTCCAATTATACCCCCCCCCCACCAATGTCCTCCACCCTCCCAGACAGGAACTCGACGTAGTCCAACCTACAACGAACCAGTAGCCAGCAACAATAACTGCTTCACGGCTATCGCAATAGGTGGTCTATCTTGAATAGGAAAGTCTATCTCAGTCAGCTCCTTTAAATCGACATTGCGGTTCCGGTTACCCTTCATGTCGACTTCCTTTTCGAAACTCTCGCGCATCTTCTCCTCACACCTATCAAATACAATCTCATCCCCATGAATAGGAAGCATGTATACACATGCCACGTCCTTAGCTTCGATGGTCAACACCGTTTTGTTGTCTCCTTCATCGAAAATGAAGGTATCAGTTGGGAAGTCATAAGCAGCCATCAAGTCGTCCAACAAACTCTTATTAATTGCCGACATTCGACGGTCCAATAGGCCACCAAATTAGCCTTGTGGAATTCTTGCTTGCAAGCTTCATAGTAGTCAACATCCTCATCCACTAGTTTATAATCTTTAGGAGCGATGCGGTGTGGCAGCGATTTGTAGAATAAGCTCGATTCTTGCTCATCATCTGCTCCTTGGTTATCTTCTTGTACATCCTTGTTCAACATAGTGTGCTTCTTTGTGATGCGTCTGGGATGAGCCTTCTCCTAAACGAGCTCTTTTCGCACACATTTTACTTTTTACCATCGTGCAAAATCCCTGAAAAACATGAGTATGATACATTTAGGCATGTACACAGTCCAGACTAATATGCAAACTGCACATAATAATATCTACAGTCAGAGAATTGAAATCGCGACATCATGGAACTTTTATTCAACCAATTTAACCAACTAGTATCGTCATTCAACCAAATTGTATCCGAAATTAGCTAAATGGTATCCAACATGTGCTGAACATGTATTCTACATTTAACGAACTAATATCCTAACAACAAATAAGGGAATCTATACATCATAGATCTAGTATTCAGTCAATCTAACCAACTAGAATCAATATAATACAAAACTAGTATTCAACCACTCATTGGAGAACTAATCTCCACATTTAAAAAATATGTATCCGAATGGCACTAAATAATATCCAGCTTTATATAAGAATAATCTATAAAGATTGCACGAACTATTATCCACTTTTAACAAAATTATATTCCAAATCGATGAAAAGGTATCTTCGATGTCACCAACTAGCATTACATAACAATAAACTAGCAATCCAACAAACAAAACCCAGAACCCCCAGATTCAAATCCAATAAACCTAATCTAGCAATTCGACAAACAAAACCCGGAACCCCCATATTTGAATCCATGAACCCTAATCTAGTAATCCAACAAACAAAACCCAAAACACCCAGATTCGAATCCATGAAACCCTAATATAGCAATCCAACAACAAAACCCAGAAACCCCGTATCCGAATCCATGAAACCCTAATTTAGCAAATAAACAAACAAAACACAGACCCCACATTCAAATCCATGAAACCATAACTTCTAATACATAAATCAACAAAGAGATTGTGGTCCGCCTACTTCCACAACTTCCTTCTCGTCGCCTTCTTCGGCTTCTTTCTTGCACTAGCGTCCTCGTCTTCTTCCTTATCCTCCTGCTACTATAGTTCCCTAAACCCATTTTTTGCCTCGCGCTACAGTCATCGACAACTTCTGCTCCCCGCGCTCCCGCCATCGTCTGTTTTATGGGAGCCCTGGTCGCCTTCGTGTCGGGGGGACTTTCTTGTCGGTTTCAGGAGAGCGGATGGAAGGACGAAGGTTGGGGGTTTTGTAGGAAATGAAACGTAATAAGTGATTGGGAGAGTAGAAGAAACTGAAAAAGCAAAAAATGGGTTTTATCATTGGTTTCAGTACCTCGTTTGTTTTTGTTGTCACTATATTGTTATCTCTTCCTTCCCGATAGAAATTTTATCTCTTGCTTTTGTGGTAGGTCATTATCTTCTGTACAACTGGGATGGTAACATCCATGATGTATCAAGTTATTCGGTAGATGAAAATGAATGTGAGAGAGATGCACTCAAGAAAGCCTCAACTATATCATACTCGCGTCTCTGACAAATTCAAAGAATCAAAGAGGTTGATTCTTGTTACATCTTATGTTTCACCTCGAGGAATGAACTATCCTGTTGTCAGTTTGGTCGTTTAGGTATTTATAAGTCTTCTTATAAGAGAATCTCCTATAGACTTTGTACTTTGTCCATAACTCTTGATTTCATTGCATAATAACGTGTTCAAATTCTCAATACAAACCGAGTGGGCATCCCTTGTGAGCGAGAACAGTACATACATCATCTTGGAAGAACCGGGAGGGAAGGTAAAGATGGGCAATGAGTCTTGTTGTTGACTCCATGGGAATAATATTTTCTGGATGAATGGAAGGAATTGCCTATAAAAAACATGTTTATTAGAGTTCCTTACGATTCACATAATAGGATAGATGGAAAGAGATTTAAGGATTGAGAGAAAAAATTAGGGATTTAGAGATAGAGAATTGAGGATTATGGATTGAAGAACATAGTTGGGTTTAATAGCGAGAAATAGCGAAAGCCCTTAGGGAGAGAGAGAAAAGAGAGACTAGGATGAGGATAATTTTACTAATATTCTTCTTGATTCATGAATGAAAATGCAAAGTACATATTTATAGTAAAAGACAGCTCATGTTGGCCTCGATTCTTACATGTGGCTCAATTTCCTCAAGATTTGGCCCATAGACTAGTATTAGAGTATGGTTCCTTCCACAGATCGGCCCAGACTCTAGCTTCTGCTTGACCCACCTTGCCCAAGACATCAGCCGATCTTGCTGATTTTTGGCCTGTGACAATGCCGCAACTCTTCCAACTCCTCTCCTAATTTCGACCCGCCCAGATGATCTATTTTCAGCCAAATCCTCCAGTCAGTCGGTGGCCCGATCTGCTGGTCAGCTTGGCCTAAATCGACTCCAATATTCTTCATCCTGAGATTTACCCCTCTAAGACTAACGGGCCGAGTGACCCGGCCCAACGGCGAGGAGTCCATTTGCTACTCTGTGGCCCGGATTGAAGCGGCCAACCTAGGTCTTGCGAGGGGAAGAATGACTTTGCCGCCTCTTGTCATCTTCTTCTCAAATGTCGAAAGCTCCGTCATTGCCTTCTTCTCTGACAATGAGCGATGCACCCAGCCACGAGGAGTCGGCTCTGGTGACTCACCTCCCATCAACCCACACGCTCGGCGATGGGAAAGACTCCCCCCTCGTTGGCTCTAGCGCACCCTCTTCATCTCCTCCCTCGTCGGCAACTCCTTCTTCTCGGCCGGCGAATCAACACGGTCATTGTACGTCGACAAATCCTACGATGTCTCATCCTTCGGCGATGATTTCTCCTTCTCTTCTTTCTCTAATAAAGGATACCCAATTCGGTGATAGAAAGATCGACTCGATTCCCTCGTCTTTGTCGCAAAACCTGCGATCCTTTGACGATGTCTTCTTTGTTGCTTCTTCTAGTGGCGAATCGTGCACCAGGAGAGGGAAAGGCGATCCCGCTCTCAACCTTGTCTTCGTCCTTGCTTCCTCTATGGTCAATTCCATCACCGCCATCACCACTCTTCGTTGCGCCACCCACACTAGTAGCCAGGCCGACGAGTCATACTAGCGGCATGGCGCAGTCCTTGCCTCACTTTGTCGGTCGGCCTTGAGGTGTACCGCTACAAGTGTCAATCATTTTCTCCACAATCCGGTTCTCTGGATCCCGACCGATGAGAAGAGGGTGCTCCTTTAATTCACTCTTCACTTCCAAGTTCCTTGTCCGACTCCTTCTTCCTGAACTTCCACCCCTCAAGTTCCATGGAAGTGGGGTCTTCTACAGTGGCGGTGGAGCTAAATTTAGCACTTTGATGATTGATAGTGCCAATGTGAGGCTTGGGTCGGTGGAAGCGGCATACTTGGCGCGGTCGGAGCAGCGGTCGAGATCTCCAGCGGTAGTAGCTCACTCGCCGCCTCTTCTGCAGGTCCCTCTTCATCCGGTTCGAACGTCGCAATCATAGCTAACAATTGCCCAATATCTGTCGTCTGCCTACGCACAGCCTCGGCTGAGAAGAACAGCTGCCACATCTTCGTCCTTTTCTCGAATCCATCCACAAGTTTATCCGTGGCTGTTCTTACTTGCTCACAACAGGCTTTCATGTTGTGGATCTCGTCCCCGATTGAGAGTTGTGATGAACTCATATTAGTAACCGGAGCTCTGATATTACTGTAAGAAACACGTTTATTAGAGTTCCTTACGATTCACGTAACCGGATAGATGAAAAGAGATTTATGGATTGAGAGAAAGAATTAGGGATTAGGAGATAGAGAATTGAGGATTAGAGATTGAAAAACAAAATTGGGCAGAATAGGAAAAAATGACTAAACTCTTAGGGGGAGAGAGAAAAGAGAGACTACGATGGAGATAGTTTTACTAATATTCTTCTTGATTCGTGAATGAAAATCCAAAGTACATATGTATAGTAAAAGACACCCAAAATCCTAACAAGCATAATCCCGAATAACCCTAATATCTATGTTTCTTACATTGCCTCTTGAGAAATTCTCTTCGCCTGACATAGAATCACAAGTTAAACCTAAGGTCTAGTTTCTTATCCTAAAATATGTCTGGGTTTCTCACCGAGTGATGCATTAAGTAGTACTAAATTAGGGGTTTGGTGTTTGGGGGTGCAGATGGAGAGTCTATCACAAAGGTTGATAATAGCATAATAGAGGCAACATGAACATATTATGCTTGGCTGGGATACTACAACTAGAGGTAGGGATGGCAATGGGTCGGGTCGGAGACGGATAGTGTATATCCGTTATCCTACCCAAAGTAGTTCGAGTTTTACCCATATTCATACCCACATGTGAAACGGGTAAAAAATTAAAACCATGTCCATACCCGGCCCGTTCGGGTATCCACGGTTATCTATGGATAATAATTTCTCTTCATAACTACAACCAATATGTTAACATTCACACGTATTCTCACATTACGTAAGAGGAAAAGTACGACAATAGTTCACTAGAATGAAGAAAATTAACTAAAACAACACAATTTCATGAAAATATTATATTTATATGCTAAATATAAAATATGTTAGAGAAAAATAATAATTATTTCTAGACAAAATACATATGCGTGAGTATAATTGGGCGGGTTCGGGTTGGATAGTTAGAAACCTATGCCCACCCATTACCCGCAATATTCGGGTTCGGGTTTTACCCGTATCCACTAAATGTCCTTCCGGTTCGAGTTTTACCCTAACCGATTAGGCCGAATTCGGACGGATATCCACGGTTACGGATATTTTTGTCATCCCTAACTAGAGGTGACAATTTTCAATCCAATCCCATCCATACACTTGAATATCCAATTAGTTCAATTCATTTACAGGTCGTTTGCTTCATGGATTTGAAAAATGATGGTTTTGGTAAAACTTGGGTTTTGTAAAACCATGGATATATGAGGGTTTTTGGTTCATTATGGGCTTGAAAAGTACCATTGTTTGTTTCATAGATTTCATGATGGAATTGGTTAATTATATTTGTATGTAAGAAGTGAAATTTATCCTTATTGCCCTCATTGGTATGAGAAGAGAAATGAAATAGGAGGGCTAGTTTTGTCTTAAAGGATGGACTTCAAAGTCCAGGATCAATTCCAATCCACTCGATATTCATGAATCCACCAATCCAATCCACCAATCCATCGATCCAATCCAATTGCCACCTCTCACTACAACTCAATCAGGGAAATCGGGAGGGACAAAGACGACGCTTGTTAAGCTGGCCAATCAGTTCTGTGGATCAATAGGATTGAAGAAACCACCTTCCATGTTCAGGAGAAGTGCACTGAAATTGGGATTGAAGGACATCCCTCTGGAATCCGGATTCGACAGTAGAAAGGGCAAGCTCAACTAACTTGGAGAAGAGGACCACCTGCTAAAGAGTGAGAGGTAGTCATCGTTCTATCTCTATATTTCACCCCCACAACTTTTTCCATCACACTTCTACTTTAATTCAGAGCAATCGAAACTTTTAAGTGAAAGGACTTGGAATTTGGAAATGTAGGAAAAAGTTGTTCTAACTTATTGTGGAAAACTCTGCAGGAAATTGCTTTTTATTAATGAATGCATCGACATTCCAACACAGGAAGGGGCATCTTTGATTGCAAAAGGTAGAAAGAAACGCAGAGAGGCTGGCGGAGGAAATGGGCATATGTACTGTTGCGTGGTGTTGGCTCAAAATCCAAGAGCCACATATCTGGCCAACTTGCGAGAAGTAGATTCAAAGAACATCATAGTTGCATGATTGTGGCGACCTGCCCAACAAAAACGACATAAGTGACACAAAATTGATGGCTAGCTATCTATCTATATGCCATGCCTTTAAGCAGGGTACTCTTGAACAGGGTAATATACCAAAATTCCCTCCATTGGAGATGTCGGAATAGCTGCCAGCTCAATTGTCATTCTTTCTTTGATATTTGATGGCATCTCAATTCTAATCTAGTAAATCCTCCACTCACTGCGTGAAGCCACCTCTGAAGCGAGGCTAAATAGCTAGGACTTATTATGATTTTGACTCTTGGAAGATAATTTGAGTACATATATATAGACTTGAATCGGACTATCAGTCGCTACGACTGAATTAGTTTGGGTCTCGCTGCCCGGCCAGCGAGTGGGGTCCAGGGGCAACGGCCCCGGCCCGCGGTGTATGGGCTCAATGTTATTTGGGTTCGGGTTCTGGGCTTGGTCTGTAACCGTTTCCTTTGCCAGATTGGATTAGGTTTAGACCCACATGGGAGAAGTACTATAAATATTTCTCATACTCCTCTGTAATTTGTAATCTCCTCGATATAGTGAAACTAGCTAACCACATAGTGTTAGTGAACCACGTAAATCGTGTGTCGTGTTTTTCGATTCTCACTTTCGTATTCTTTCTTTCTCGATTTCGGCGATTTCCCGATGCCTAGCAGTGCGTTTATAACAATATATGCAGGGGATATCAACATAACACGTCCAAATCCTTAAGCGCTCAAGTCATCATAAACCCCAGGTTTTGTTTTGTGCCAAGGACGTCTTTGTTTTGTCAAGGACGTCCAACGTACAAAGGATGAGAATAAGACTTGTTAGTGAAAGAATGAGAATAAGCAATCTAACTGATGAGCCGTGATCTAAAAGTAACCACGTAATTAACCCAAAAGCGTAAAACCTAACATTCACAATGTCAACAACCATGTTCCAGATGAAATTAATGATTGTCAAACACATAATTTAGGTAAGCCCCAAATAAATTTTGTAAGAGATGTGAACTGACAGATTTGAAAATCAATGTATATAATATATATGAGAATGTTTGCATTTCTGTTATCTAATTATTATTCGTGATGTCAATAAAGTTTACAACAATATTCGTATAGATTAAGTATAGTGGATAGAAAGTATAGAAAATAGGACTATTCTTGTGGTTCATACAACTGGAATCTTGATTAATGTGGATAAAATTGATATCACAAGTGAACAAGATATAAATAAATACGATACCCATCATCCACTAACGTGACCAATGGGTTTAGAAATTAAATACAATACCTTCTTCCCTGATCATTTCATACACGATGAACAACGACGACAAAATTAGACAGAAAGGAAACATCAGATATGGAAGTTACGTGAGCGAGCGGTGAGAGTGGTGGACTGGACTGGTGCGACGAGGAACGACAAAGACAAGAGAGGATTTTGTGGAATCTCTTCTCCCTCCTTTTATTTATGCAGCAAAGCAATTGCAACGTCCTTTCCCCTCAACCCACCCTTTGCTTAATTCCCTTTCTATATTTTTCCTTATTAATTAACTAACTAGCTTTGACCCTGCCCTTTGGGCAGGTAAGTTTATATAATTTTTTAAAATGTAACATATGAATTAAGTGATGAAATGTAAATTGTTCTTGTTTTATATTATTGTCATTTATTATGAATTTATTAAAAATAATTATTTTGACCCTTATCTTTCTGTAATCAATATTTTTTTAATCAAGTCATTCTGCCAAATATTCTTTTAAAAAATTATGGGTCATCTAGGATTTTGTTAAAATGCATTACATAGATACATACGACTTATTAATAATTACAACTTGTGCCAAGAGTGGACGATTGATGAGTTAAGACCTTTTATTTTCCTTTCTATTTTAATTATTGTCGTGCTTATGTGGATAAAAAATATACAAAGATATTTTTTAAATTATTCTCATATGAAAATGCAATTGGAAGATATTTAGTTTACATAAAATCTCTACATACCAGAATGAGCAAGAATATTATAACACCTTTGAAGTAGGGATGGCAATTTACCCACCCATGGGTAATTTTGCCCAAACCTAAGTAGACCCATTTATTATGGGTAGGGTTTGGGTGATGTGTGTATGGGTTTGGGGTTTGTATATGGGTTTGGGTTAGATATGGATATTATCTAAATGGGTATGGGTTGGATATGGATATCCATTTAATTGAGGGTGTTTTAACTACACATGCAAAAATTGGACCTATTTGTAAAACTTGAAAAGTTTAGGTACCAAATTGTAAGACCAAAAAAATTTAGGTACCAAAACATAATTTTCCATCGATATTTTGAGGACTTATATGCAAAAAAAATTAAATTTAGGTACTAAATATGCATATCTATTAAGTTAGGTACCAAACTGTAATTTGTATTTGGACATGGATACAAACCCAAATCCATTTGTTGTAAACCCAACCCAACCCAAAGTAAATGGGTATGGGTACAAACCCATCAAACTTTACCCATATCCATATATTTGGATTTCATACCCAACCCAATTAAGTTGGATAGTAAAATACCCATGGGTATGGGCAAAATTGCCATCCCTACTTTGAAGCATCATTGCAATGGAAAAACAGATCAAAGCATAAGACCAATTTCATAAAAGCAGATAATAGGCAAATATGGTCAAACCTAGAGTTATAGAAGTATATAATTAGTAAAAACAGTTGTCCTCCCGACAAAAAAACAAAGAAAACAAAGTTTTGCTTTTTTAGTTCTGAAAATAGAGAAATGCAAAAGGAAGAGAACTGAGGTCAGGAGGGAAGGAAAATACATATATAAAGACAAACTGAAAGCAGCAACATCAAACATTAACTGTGTAGTGAAGAAGCAGCATACACAATAACCCTTATGCCCGAGAATAGAAGTGAGTTTCAGGGTTGCATTTTCCGGGTCTGAATTGCGGTGTCGGATTGGTTGCCAAGGAGAATCCGTGACGGAATCGGGCTTCCGTTGGAGGATTTGGCGGCGAAATTGACTGAACTCAGCGGGCAGAGGCTTTGTGGTGGCGGGACGGGATATGTACGTACCAGCGGCAATGTATTGAAGTATTTTTTAGCGAAGCCGGTGGTAACGGCAAGTGAGCGATCGCAGCCTGCAGGAGAGAAATCAACCTCGGAAGGAGGCTACGATGATGGTGTGATTGGGGGTAGTTACTAATGGAGGCATATTAATAAAGGAAGATCCAGATGGGCGGTGGTTGAGAAATAGGAGTCTGTGAATCATTGTGAAAGGAGTGAGAATTCGGAAATAGAATTTTTTTTTTTTTTTGACAATAAACATCATTCATTTCATTCCAAACCCAAACAAGAGGGAAGAATTACAATTACAATAATGGAGCTACAAGGTCGGCAATGACAGTCCATTCCGGGGGGAGAAGATCAAGACGATAGTTCCTTGCGATCCAATCTGCCAACAAATTGAGTCGACGGGGAACAAACTCGATCGAGATCCAAGGAGAAACACACAGAATGGAAACCACACGGGCAAGGGTTGCCCTGCACTGCCAGGGCCAAAGGCTCGGATCCTGTCGCAACGCAATCGTAAGCCTCTGACAGTCAGACCGAATACATGTTGGGACTGGATCCAGGGCCGCCAAGATAACTGCATTGAGAATTGCAAAAGCTTCTGCCTGAATCGGAGAGGAACAAAAGAATCTCTCAGCCCTTCCGTCGATCACCTGACCGTGGGAGTTTGCAATAGCAATCCCATAAGCCGCCACCTGTGCATTAGAAACAAAGGAACCATCGCAATGCACAACCTTACTGTAAGGACCAGGCGGTGATGAGGTCGTCGACCGAGAACTCTCAGGCTGAGACGGCAAACTAGCTGACCTAGAAGAGGAAGAAACTGAGGACGAGATCCTAGCTTCTTGCACGTTCCGGAAATCTCTATCAGCTAAAATTGCCACAGAGGGCGGAGAGAACGCCCGACCATCAAAGACCAAACCATTTCGAGCCAGCCAAATATTCCAAAGAGTGCAAACAACCTTTGTAATCTGGTCATCCGTCAATCGATCTTTGAGGTCAAACAACCACACTGCAAAGCTTGCGTCATCCGCAGGAAGAACATTCGTCAATCCCAGTTGAGACCAAGTCGCTGAAGCTTTGGAGCAGTGGAACAAGCAATGCACGATGGTCTCGTTATGCTCCTCACAAATCGGGCACAAAGGATTAGGAGCACACTTTCGTTCGAAAAGCCTCGCTCGTGTTGCAATTGCATGTTTACCACTCTTCCAAATGAAAAATCGAAGTTTAGGGGGCAACTTGAGATCCCACAACCATTTCCAATCGTCCCTATTTGGTCGAGAAGGAGACACCCCGGCAGCAAGCGAGGGAGCATCCCGACTCTCCCGTAGCATACGGTACGCAGACTTAACGCTGTAACCACCAGTCTCCGTACAACTCCAAATCCATCTATCATTAGCAGTGCACGGGCCAATTGGGACACGAGCAATAGCAAGGGCAATCTCTTCGGGCACAAGATTCCTGATATCATCCATTTTCCAGCTCCGGGAATCCTGATCAATCCAATCACTGACTTTAGATGGCTCCAAACCCAAAGGAGAGAGACTAAAACCTGGAATGGACGGAAGCCAAGGGTCACAATGGAAAGAGGATTCCTTCCCTGACATAATCCCTCGAATCAAGCCACTCTTCATCTTCTCCTTAGCCTCGCAAAAGCCATTCCAGATCCATGAACTCTTACTCCCCTTGGCTGCTGAAAACAAATCTCCATTGGGAAAGTAAAGTCCCTTCAAAAGCTTTGCCCACAAGGCATCAGGGTTCTCAAAGAGTCGCCAAACCTGCTTCCCAATAAGAGCAAGGTTGAAGAGGTGAAAGTTCTTAAACCCCAGTCCTCCTTCGTCTTTTGGTAACTCCAAATCCCTTGCTTTACACCAATGAATAGCCCTCTTCTTCATAGAACCAGACCAGAAGAACCGCTTCAGGATCGAATCCATTTTGTTCGTTAAGTTCAAAGGCAGCAAGAAAACGCTCATGATGTAGGTCGGCAAGGCTTGGATCACTGCTTTTAACAGAACTTCTTTCCCTCCTGGTGATAACATGAGGCTCTTCCAGGATTCACCTTTCTTTTCCATGCGCTCCAAAAGAAATCTAAACGTTTCTTTTTTAGATCGACCCCATTCAGTAGGAACTCCCAAATATTTATCATGGCACACTGCAGACGGAAATCCGAACTTGGTGCTCACAAGGTTCTGAATGGCCTGGGGAGTGTTCTTGCTGAAAAAAATAGAAGATTTGGAGGCATTGATCTCCTGTCCTGTTGTGGCTCCATAAGTCTCAATGATGGCCTTAATCCTGTCAGCTTCCGAGACACTAGCTTTGCCGAAAATGACAGTGTCATCCGCAAAAAGGCAATGAGAGATCCTGGGGCAATTCTGGTTGAGCTTGATGCCTCTAATATCACCATTAGAGATCCCTCTCTCAATCAAGAAAGACAAGGCGTTAGACATAAGGATGAACAAGAATGGAGAGATGGGATCACCTTGTCGAATGCCTCGGGAAGGAGAGAAAGGCTCAGTAGGGCTACCATTCAATAAGATAGAGAATCTGACTGTCCTGGTACATTCTCGAATCCAGCCCCGCCACTTCTCAGAAAACCCGTAAGCATGTAAAATAGACTCGAGACCTTCCCAGTCCACAAGATCATATGCTTTTCTCATATCCAATTTCACCATCATGTCCCAATCACCATAACGTCGGTTATTAAAATTATGCAACATCTCATGAACAATAATGACATTATCCTGGATAAGTCTCCCTCCTGTAAACGCTGCCTGCATTTCGGAGACCAAACCCGGGAGCCACTTCTTCATACGACTAGAAAGGATTTTTGAAATGATCTTGTATCTGAAATTGCAGCAACTAATGGGACGGTACTGGGAGATAGACTCTGGGGCAAGAACCTTGGGAATAAGGGCGATATGAGTATCATTCCACCCCTGAGGCATAATAGAGGTTCTGAAGAAACTCATGACTTCACTACAAAAATCAGGCCCAACTTTGCTCCAAAACTTGCGGTAGAACGATCCAGCAAAACCATCAGGACCTGGTGATTTTGTTGGGCCAAGGTCAAACACCGCAGCTCGAATCTCCTCTACAGTCGGATCTCTATCAAGATCAATACTCATTTCATTTGAAACCAGCCTCGGAAAGTCATGGAGGGCTCCATCATTAAGTCCTGACTTCTTTGTGAAAAGATTTTTATAGAAACTAGTCACATGAGAGGAAAGAGCATCAGGTTGGGTAATCAGGTTTCCATACTCATCTTTCAGGGCAGAAATTCGATTCCGAAGCTTGCGAAGAGAGGTAGAAGCATGAAAGAACTTATTGTTCTGGTCACCGACACTGAGCCAATCCACACGTGACCGTTGACTCCAAAATAATTCATCATCCTTCCAAATGGCAGCAAGCTCATTCATAAGGTTTTTCTCCTCTTCAACAATCTCCACTGATCGGTCAAGATCTAGGATGTCAACCAATCTCTTCTGGATATCCTCAGCCCTTCTATTTTGATCTTTGTACATTTGTTTAGCCCAATTGGTCAATTCCTTTTCACAATTCTGAAGTCTTTCATGGCAAAGGCCTCCCCCATCCCAATTCCGATTCACAATCTCAAAGCACTCATCATTCTGAAACCATCTAGTGTCAAACCGGAAGGGAGTCCTTGATCTGCTACGCATCCCTTCAAACTCCAATCGTAGGGGACTATGATCAGATTCCATAGGCAACTCATGAAAAATCAAGGCATTACTGTACATTGTGAACCACGAGGTAGAGCACAGCCCACGATCAAGTCTCTCCTCAATACGTCTCGTTCCTTCCTGATTATTCTTCCACGTGAAAGGGTAGCCCTTAAATCCCATATCCATTAAACCATTCCCATCAACAAAAGCTTTAAAGGGTACAGTAGATCCGTTCCTAGGCATATTCCCCCCCTTCTTTTCATCCGGAAAAAGCAAAGCATTCATATCCCCAATAACCACCCATTTCTCATCGACACTAGTTCTAAGACTACTAATCTGATCCCAAAAATCCCTACGCCGAGCAGGATCAGACGGGGCATGAACAAAGGTGATAAAAAACCCCCATTAACATCAACAAAAGCATCAATAAAATAGCAGCTACTATCCAGAATAGTGATAGGTAACCCCGCCACCCACCAAAGAGCTAAACCCCCTGCCCTTTGAACCGGATTGACATGGAACTCCTCAGCAAATCTCATACTTCTTCTCTTGGACTTCATATAGGATTCTTCCTTCATCGTCTCGGACAGAAAAATAAAAGAAGGTTGATGTTTCTTAACCAACTTCCTGAGCTGACGAACTGTGGGGGTCTGCCCGAATCCCCGACAGTTCCACACAATAGCATTCATGGGACCCCTGGTGGCTTGGAATCGGCCACCATAACCACAGCAAGATTGGGTTCAAACCCAGGCGGGAAAGCTGCATCAGCATTGTCACCCTTTTCCTCGGATCCTCCTTCAATAGCATCAGCCTGCTCTGCCCCTTGACCTTTTAAAATGCAGCCAGATATCTTTCTTTTCTTTTTTTGAATCCTTGGGCTGCCATTGCGAAATAAGGATCCATGGTCTCTCGGTTGAAAAGCAGCAGGAAATTGGGTTGCCATTGGGCTAGGAAAATAGTTTTGGTTGAAGGTAAAATGGGTCTGGGCCTGGATAGGTAATGGGCTTAGGTTAGAAAACCCAAAGCCTGGTGGAGGGCTTTGAAAAACGGGGGTCTGGCTACAGGAGAGAGGTATTTGTGGAGTAAGGGGAAAACCGAACAAGTTTCGGGCAACGCTATCTCCTTGGTGCGGGGAAGCGATCTGCTCGCGGTTCAGGGTAAACATGGGGTAGCTTTGTGGAGATGGCGATGAAAAGTAGGGGTTTTGAACAGGGTTAGCTGATGGCGAAAGAGGGAAATTTTGAGCGAAACTTGAGTGAGGAGATTGATGGATGGCAGGCGTCGTTACCAAGGATTGTGGGCCCCTCTGAGGTTGAGCGAAGACAGCGCCGCTCATGGTGTTCGCCGGCGACTGGATCCTAGCTCCTCCCGGAGAATCAGATGTCGATGCCGCGTCTCTAACCACCACGGCCTCAACTTCCTGCTGCTGGATCGTCCTAGGTGAGAAGAGGGGTGAGCTAGCCCTCGTCCACGGACCCCATCTCTGAATCGTCGGCGGCTGAGCCCCATTTTCTTCATCACTTCTTCTCAGATCGCACTCCAATCTGGTATGCTCGATTCCTCCACAGTGGTAGCAAAGTGAGAAGAGTTTCTCGTACTTGAATTCAATCCAGGTTCTCTTTTGTTGGTGGCGGATGTAAAACCCATCTGGAATCGGTTTTGAGGTGTCCACCTGAACGAACACCCTCACAAACTTCCTGTAAATTTGAGCTTGGAGTGCAGCCCGGTCAATGTCGATGATTTTGTGAAACATTCTGCTAACCATGGCAATGTTGCTCTCCGATCTGTATGCTTCTGGGAGGTTATGGATTTGGATCCAGAAGTCCACCATTCTGAAGCTGACTTCTCTTGCATTTTCAAGCCCGGATAGCTTCCTCACTTGCATCAAAGTACCAGATATGGGGCAGGGACGCTCCAGCCAGATCGCCTCCATTTCTTCCATCCTCTCAAAATCAAGAGTGAACACATTCTCATAGACTGGTTGAACGTTGGGCATCTCTCTGATTTTCGGCTTAGGATTATCCACCCAGGCAGTTCTGATCATGCCTCTCAAAGCCCTTAGGCTGATACTGCGCTCAGAAAAAACTTTGACAACCAGGGAGAATCGGTTGGTGAGTCTATCTTCATCAGGAACCATTTCCAGATCCCATTCCCCAGCTTGATTGATCAGATCGTTAACACTCATTTTTGTGGTGTTTTTCCCAGATTCTATTCGCTCAAGACAGAAGGGACAAACAGAACGCTCACAGCAGAGAGGTAAGTTTAGAGTATAGATGTTGATGTTTGATGGTAGTATTCCCCTTCTTATAACTCCTCCAGCATTTCTACACCCTCCACCCGCTTCATTTAATAGGGTTGTTGGTTTGATTGGACCAGGTTTTATTGCTGTTTTCCTTCCCTTAGAGCTTTTGGCTTCCCCTGCTGCTTTTAGTGGCTCGAAACACCTTCCTTGCTTCATTAATGGTGGCTTGAAACGACTGGTATCTACATTTGGTATATTTATACCTTCTGTAAGAGAGGGACAATAACTTCTATCCACCAGAAAGGTAGAGTAATTGAGAAGCCCTAAATCCCTTTGTTGCAGCTGTTGAATCAGTTCAGGGCATACACAGCTGGCCTTGATTGAACAACACACCTCCTGTTTGCATTTAATAAGATAACAAGACTTTCTCTCAACAGAATCAGAATCAGTCATCTTCATCGACACTACAGCAGCCGAGAAGGAAGATCAAATCATCTCACAAATGGAGGGGGATCAACATCCAGAACAAGTCTGGGAAAGCACAACGGCTAGAAGGGGACTAATTCAAACAAGAGAGAGGGCAGAGCAAAGAGAGGAAGAGAGAGAAATTTAAGTGAGGAAGAGCAAAGAGAGGAAGAGCAAAGAGAGGGCCGTGGACCGTGGTGTCGCTTGGGCGGGGAGGAAGGAAAGAATTGAAGTGGAAGCGGGCTGACGTGGACAAAAAAGAGAGGTTAAAAGTGCGAAAGTTGCGGAGAAGCTTTCCGCCAGAAACTGCTTATAATATTTTATATGGATATGGATATATAAAGAAGAAGTTTGATTACTGCTCAAACACTATAATTTGCATTTTATATTTTGATACTCCAAATTGAATTATTAATGTAAAATATCATTAAAAAATCAGGCTTTGGTATCTAAATGCTATTTATTATGAGATGTTAGAACCTACAATTTTTTTAATTTACATATTGCTAAACATTGGATCATGAATACAATTCATAAATCCAATCCATTTAAAATAATACATGAATCGAATCCATTGCCACCTCTACTAGAAATAATATATTAATATATGAATCTCAATAAAGATGTCCATTTCAATTCTACTATACTTTAACTTTCAAGTATTGGTGTTTCGAGATACAAGTTTGATTTTTTCAATACTTTAAAGTTAAGGACTTTGTTCAAGTATATATGAATCTCAATACTTTAAAGTTAAGGACTTTGCTACGGTGACTTGCAAGTCACTGTGACTTGGACAAAACGGTTGACCTGTTCACTGATATTGTTGACATATTTGGATAAAATGGTCGACCTCTTCACTGATATGGTCAACCTATTTGGATAAAATGGTCGACCTCGTTGTCGGAATGGTCGACCAGATGTACTATTTTCCATTTTGCTATGTTCAACAAATTGTTAACCTCTTCAACTTAAAGGTCGTCCAGTATAAAAAAATGGTATACCACTTCCATCAAGTGGTTTATCCCTTCCCCCAAGCGGTCCACCTCTTTCAATAATTGGTCCACCTGATGAACCATTGCTAGTGATATCATCATATATATATAATTATAGTCCAATAACATTAGATATGCTTACTAGTAAGAGATTTAAAATTAGTGCAAAGGCTGCAAGCATAAATAACAAGTTTCTTGAGTGATTGTTCTCCCGTAGATGTGAAAAATGTAACGCATATTTATTTCTTATATTGACTTACTTTATAGAGACATCATCTTTTTTTTTTCAAATTCTAAGTTTTCTTGTTTTCATCCTATAGTTGTCTTGTGATGGACCAACTTAATTTGTTGCTATTTTTATTATGAAAATGCTAAAAGAGTCGAGTATATTTGTTATATACAATTAGATTGTGTCATCTTCAACGTCCATAAATCTCATATCATCACTTTTGTGGATTTTTATTCCACGGAAGTAAAAAGAGGGTGTTTCTTTTTGTCTTGGCCTATTGGTGGAATAGGTCTACCACTTGAAGATAAGTGTGTCATCAAGTCGACCCATTTCCGGAAGTGGTAGACAGGATGACTCAAGTGGTAGACCACTTGGTGGCAGAGGTATTTTCATGGAAAGTGGTCGACACTTTTCTCCAAGTTACGATGACTTGCAAGTCACCATAGGCATTAAAGTATAATAGAATTGAAACACCAATACATGTTCAATTTGTACCAATACATATACAAGTTTAATTTGTATCTTGACACACCAATACTTTAAAGTTAAAGTATAGTACAATTGAAACACCAATACTTGTTCAATTTGTGCAATATCGATAAAGGTATATGTTCAATTTGTACAATAATAGACCGTTTGGTACCATATGAATTGAGAATTCATTTCATTGTAAAATGAATTACCGTGTAGAATTCATTGTCAAATGAAATCTTGTGTTCGGTATCTCATATTCAAATCTTTATAAATAAAAGGAATTGTCATGTAGAATTCATTGTCAAATGAATTCCTATGTTTAGTATGTCATATGTATAAGTAATTTAGTTAATAAAAAGAATAATTACGTCATTCTATTATAATTAGTAAATTCTTGTGAAATTTATTTGGAAATTCTATCTCAATTCCTCGGAATTGCTATAACTAGTTCCAATTCCATAGAATTAAAAATTTAGAATTGGAAATGAATTCTTTTAAATACTAAACATAAAAATGTTTCATTTCAAAATGAATTCTTCAAACTTATGGAATTCACTTATACCAAACGATATGTAACTGAATTTGTATCTTTATATTATGGTATAAGTTCAGTTTGTTTGTACCATAACATGAAAGTATAAATTTATTTTATACCATATAAACTTTTGTATCACTCAACTGTATGAGAATATTCTATCATTTTGATCTTCGATGGAATTTTAACTTCAAGAAAATATGTATGTCATCCATTTGAAATAATAGTTACCATTTTTCTAAAGAGCATTCTATTGGGTTACGTGGCAACATATTTAGTAAAATATACTAGAAGTATGTTAAGATATTGATATGTATGAAGTTTTTTTATGACATTTTAATGGAACCATGTTTAAAAAGAATTCAGCTGTAATAAAAATCATATTTTAAAGGTGAATATAAATATCAAAATTATTGAATTATTAATTCAATCTCTTAAAAAAAGTGTATTAGATGTTTTATATTTTTTCACTACGTGAAACACTAAATAAATAGTAAGTGAGAGGCGACTCTATAATATTACAAGAGCGAAATTTATAACTCATTTAGTACAATTATAGGGTATTAAACAAACTTCTACTAAATATGTGTAACAAATATGCGACATTCACAAGAGAGTTGTCAATAAATTGCTACAGTAAAAAGGATTGATTGTAGTATTGACGGCCAACGAAAAGAGTTGGTCAAAATATTTCCATCATCTACTTCATCTTCGTTTCATTTTTCATTCATCTTCCATATCCTTGTCTAATGTCTTTATTTCTTTCTTTGCCTTCTTCGTCCAACCCTAATTAGTATACTATTTATATGTACTCTAATTCACAAGTATGAACGGTTCCATACACGAATCACCAACAGTCTATAAAATTAATAACTGAATCATGAACCACTAACTTTTTCAGCTCAATGTCGAGTCCAATTAAAAAAAACATGGTTTTCTAATTATTATAAGGTCGTCATTTTCCTCTATGAGATTTGAAGACGTGAAATTTTAAGCAACATTCAATTTGTATTCTTTTTGCTTCTCTCTAGAGTTTTTCTTTTCCACCCGGCCGAGCTAGAATTTTCAACAATTATGCACGAAATGTTTGGATAGGTATACACATATCAAATAAACAGTTCCCGTTTTTCTATAAAAAAGTAAACAATTATCATCTTAAATAAATCACCAAAAGAGGAATTAACTCTCGAGGGTCAACTACGACAACACAGTGGTTGAGTAGCCCGCGGCAAAGCGCAGTTCCAGCCTAATACATATATAAATAGTTGTATATATGTACACGGTCCAAATATCGAATCCGTTTGTTGTCCAGTCTTGTTCCATGAATAATTATGATGTGAAAGGAAACTTACATACCAACCAAGCCAACATTAGAGGTCAGGCCGGCAGTAGTAGTGCCCAAACTAACAAGGGAATTGTTGAAGCAAATGCGGCACCTCCATCAAAAGGCCTCTAACAAGTTGCCTTGCCGGAGGAACTAAGGCATGTCATCATCATAATTGAGATAGATAGAGAGAGATAGAGAGAGTAGAGTAGCTAGTAGTTCAATGGGCAACCACAATCTCCTAGATTGTACATCTTCTGCTATTTCCCACCTGCATTAGAAGAAAAGGGCAGTTACGTTTAGTGCAAGAATATTGTTATGGAAATGGGCAGCTTTCTTTCTTTCTTTTTGGGTTGCCTTTTTTCCTATCTTCTTTCCTATAGTGGGATTCTCAAAGGGGGCTTTGGTAGAAAAGGTCACATTTTTTACTGCAATGCATCAAAATACAACTTGGAAAGTAGCAAAGCAGGATTAGTTTTCTTTTTAATTTGTGATCAGTGGGGAAGCCCATCAACTCATTTGGATTGGATATACCTTCAAATTAAAGCAAGTGTCTTTTTGTTTAATATATGGGTTACAATAATCGTCGTACCCGCAAAAGGTGATTTCTTGGGACAACTTTTCTAATCAAATTTTGTTAGAAGAAAAGCAATTTTGACTAGAACATGACAACAACATTTCCAGCTAAGCTAAGCTAATCCTATGCGATATTATATCCTTAATTGCATGATGAAGGGTACTAATTACCCATTTCGAAAAGCAAATGTGGGGTTTTACATATGTACATGCATGTTGACTTGGAATCCTACTTCAGGAGTAGTTTGTTTGGTGTAGAAATTCAAAGAGAAAGGGAAAAGAAAGGGAAAGGAAGCATATTTGAGAAAAGCAAAGATAAGGAAGAATATGAGAAAAAAGTAGTACCTTTGCCCTTTGCGCAGAGCTTTGCGATGAAGGAAAGGAAGACAATGAGGAGGGCAACCCCAGCAATTAGACCGATTAATATCGCCAGCGTCTTCTCGATCTCGTCATCGTTGTTCTCACCTTTCTCGTCCTTGTTACCTACTTATTACACATATAAAAACAATTAATCATCACAACAATTAATATTAACATTACATATATAGCTAGAAGCAATCATTGGGTTATTATGCTTGCAATAACAGTCGTATGATATATTAAGTGTTGTAATTAGTTGCGAAATCATTTTCTCTTCCGCTCAATTCATTGTAATAGGAATTTTTTCCCGTTGAAGTTGATGTTAGAAACGGAACAACAACAAGATGAGGATACCGAATCTGGAGCTGAGTCGCGGACTAGGTCGCTTTCTTTAAGACGTTCGCGGCACTGCCCTCGATGCGCACGGCAGACTATCAACCGGTCGTCTCCAGGATAAAACAGCTCCTCTGTGTACTCGCGGTTTTGTGCGAAAACCGGAGCTCTCTGAACACTCTCTCTATTGTGTTTATGCTCGGGGAGGCGGCTATTTATAGGAGCCGAACCCCTAGGAATATACCCTCTTGCTTGGGGAATAAGTCGGATTAATTAAGGAAGATAATTACTTCCTTAATTAAAACCGTCGGTTAGGATAAATCCTGCGGAGATTATCCTTCGAATATTCCTTTTCAATCGATTATCCCTTGGAATATTCCTCAGAGTAACCGATTAATAATTAATTCCTAGAGCTCTTAAACCTAACCAGAAAGGGTTTAAGGGTAAGAACCAGCAGGTCCGCCCCCACCAGAATGGTGCCTCTCGAGGTAACCAAAGGGTCATGGCCCAAACCTCTAAGAATGACCCACCGTTTATCTGCTTTAACTGCGGAAAACCGGGTCATATGGCAAAAAAGTGCAGGAACAAGCATAACCCCGCCGCTGCGGCCAGGGTTAACTTGACAGAAGAGGATTTGGTAGCCATGATCACAGATATGATTGCTGATAAAGTAATTATTTATCTTCCTTAATTAATGCTAGAGAGTCATTAGCAAGAGGAATATATACAATACAATTATTGTACCATCCAATCCAATCCATTTTGCATCGGATGCTTTGGCTTCATTCTTTCTGGCTCCTTCTATTAATTTAGTGGGGCTATTTTAGGCTAATTAACCAATTGTCTTTCTTCTTCGGCCCTATGTTTTACGTATCTCTTAATTAATTAGTTGGTCGAGTCAAGCATGCGCCCGGATCATTAGGCAGATTTCCTTTCGGGTTTTGTATTGTTGCATTGCATTGCATGCTAATCCTCCATTAACTACTACTTAATTGGTATTCTCTTAACTCACGAATATCCACCTTCTAATATATTCAAACCGCACATACTTTAATCTCATCATTAGCAGGAACAATATAAGGGAATATTAATTTGTTAATTTGTGTGACGTGTGCATGCCTAACAATTAACATCTTAACTACCCTAATCGAATATATAGTAATTAACTAGCTAGTTAGGTGTTTAGTTTAGTGAACCGCTCACCTAATTTCCCTTGAATTGAGCTAGTTACTCAGCTGTCATTAATCACTACTGTATCTAAACGTTCTACCTTTCTTATATCATTTGCAACACATTCTTAACTCACGCAAATAATAATTAATTAAACGACACAAATTAATTACCAATCACTTCAGCCCTACCTTCTGTGAGTCTGTCTCTCTTTTTTACTTGAAAAGGGGATCAACTCCAATAATTGAGTCATCTTTATTTGGATTAAAAATAAAGTACGTGGAGTCATCCATGCCACCCGAGAAAATATTATTGTCCATGTTGTCTACCCTAAATATATAAAAGAAGGGAGAAAAAGGACTCGTCCTGAGTCGTCCACAGACGCTGCTACTTCACATTTTGATCATGATTACAGAGTTATTAATTAATCACACTTTAAAGAAAATAATACCAATTAACATTAACGGCGGGAAGGGTTAGATTCTCTAAAACCTAAGAAAAAAAAAACAAATCCCTACACTACAGCTTCACATTTCCAGTTAAAAAAAAATACAGGAAGATGAAGAGGGGGAAAAACGGGGTAGTAGTACCGTGGCCTCCGGAGCCCGAGTGAGCCCCACCTTCCGAGAACCGCGCGTAGCACTTCCCCAAGAAAACGTCACCCCAGGCGGCGGCGGCGCAGTTGGATTTGAGCAGCCCCACCGCCTCCGCCACACAATCCTGACACTGGCTCCCGCTCAAGTCCTGCACGCACTGCGCCACCGCGTACACATCACCCGACCCGCCCACCCTATACGCCTTGTAGTACGCTCCTCCCCCGCCGCTACCCGCCACGTAGTCCAGCACGGCGTCCCTCCTGGCCGACGCGCCGGGGCCGTACCCGAGCGACGCGCCGCACTTCTTCATCACCACGCTCTTGTCCTGGACGCCCAGGAAGGAGGCGTTGTCGTACCTGACGAAGCAGGCGTCCAGCTGCAACGCGCCGCCGGTGGCGTCGGGGCAGAGGGTGGCCAGCTGGGTGACGGCCCGGGCGACGCAGGAGCGGCAGTCGGGCGGCGTGAGGTCGCCGCGGCACTGGTACAGTCCGTAGAGGGTCGGGGCGGCGGAGGAGGAGTAGGGAGGGAGGGATTGGGAGGTGAAGTTGTTGTAGAGGGAGAAAGGGGCTGAGTTGACGAGCGAGGTGAGTAGCGAGTTGAGGCTTGACTCGTAGGGTGAACCCGGGGTGTACTTGAGCTGCGAGCAACCGCCGAAGAGGAAGGTGTCGATTGGGGTTGACGCGCCGCCGGAGGCGAGTAGTAGGAGTGAGAGTAGTAGAATGGGGAGGGTGCGAGTTGTTTTTGCGGCCATTTTTGCTGATGGGTTTGTTTTTCTTCCTTTCTTTTCGTTGGGGTAAGTGGAATGGGAGAAGGAATATAAAGGTGGAAAAAGGAAGAGTGGTGGTGGGAGTGGTAACTAATAGTGGATGCTTGCTGACAAAGATATAGAGAGAGGGAGGGAGAGGGAGGAAGGAAGAAGATGGAAAGGGCGTTTATGGGTTGTTACTTTTTATACAAGTTACAAGAGAGAGAGAAATGATCACCAGAATTTGGCGAGGGTTCATTTCGAGTTGTGATAATGGTATTATTGTACGTATTTATTTGTAGACTGTAGAGGGAGAGGAGAGGGGGAATGTGTGTCCCAGGGATGGCAACAAAACCCGAACCCATGGGTACCTACCCGACCCAACCCGGTCAACGCGGGTAAAATTTGTGTTGACGGATTTTGGGCCGGGTTTGGGTTTAAACCCGTTCACTATTCACCGGGTTGGGTTGGGTTTGGGTTTAGGTAAACCCGGCCCGTGGGTACCCGCCCACTCATATAATTAATTTTTTCGGTATATTTAATATTCTAAACAACTAATCTTATTTATATTTGTGGAGACATGTCTAGTTTTTTCTTTTTAATTATGTAGAATTAAGTTGATGTTATGGAGTGGAGAGTAAAGAAACTTAATTGAAAGGAAGAAGTTTTCAATTAAACATGTTATTTATGGATAATTTGTGATTTGCTTCAATTTTCTTAAGTTTTCTAGATTGGTGTTGAACAATTTGTATAGTTAATTTGTGATTTGCTTGAATTTTCTAATTTGGTGTTTTATATATGGATAATTTGTATTGAGAGATTGATATTTGACTTTAATTTTGATAAGAACTTGTAATTGTAAATTTTTTACGACAAAACCCGTGTGTACCCATGAACCCGCGGATACCCAACGGGTTGGGTTGGGTTTGAGTTTTTCAAACCCAGTGGGTTTTACCCCGGGTTTTTTTCAAAGATAAATCCATGAGTTTGGGTTTGGGTTTGACAAAACCCGACCCAACCCGACCATAGCCATCCCTAGTGTGTCCTGTCAACGTTTGGCACCTTCATTCAAAGGTGGTGCATGGTTTTTTCTTTCTTTGGTTTTATTAATATTTTTATGTATTATATTCCGGTGGTCGACATTTACCACCTTTAATCTGGTTGTTGTTCTGTTTTTTTTTTTTTTTTAATTTATTTGACAGGAGATGGGAAATTACGACCACAATTCTATGCGAAGGAAGGAGAGGAGGAAAATCAAATGAAAAGCCATAAAATATTATTGCCATCCATTACCCTGAACTTACAATGTTTGTGACACATTTTTTCTTACTTCTTCTAGATAGTTGGAATATGAAATTGTGATCGAAGTATCACATTGAAAATGCCAAAAAAAAAAAATTGTTGTGTATAAGTTTTCACCCAACTTTATTAGTAGGAGGTTTGTTGGGAATGTGTCCAAGAATAAATTAATGCTGATTTTATCCAAAATCAGACAATAACATACTAACGAGGAATGTCCACACTCACCAAGTGATATTAGAATCTGATTCGTATTCTCGATAATTGACTTCAATTTGATGATATAATGTAGTCAACAAATCAAGATAATCGCCTTAAAATATCTTTGATTTGAGAAGTGTTGGGTACATGGTATATTGCTTTGGGGGGGAATTTACTTGCTAAAAGAAATGAAGACTGGAAGATGACAATCGATCTAGCTTACTGCACAGTTACAACTTTACATGTGATGGGAGCTGAAAGGGTAAACGTACATAGAGGGACAGAGGGTAGTTGTTGTGGAGTAAAACAGAGTAGTTATATATTTGACTGAGTACATATGTTTATTCGCCCTTTTTCTATTAAGTTGATATAAAGATATGACAAATTAGCAAAATGGTGCAGACGAGTGAAGCTGTTTCCTTTTAGCTTAGCTAGTTTGACACCAACTCCTGAGTCCTGATCCTATAGCATCCAAAACAAAGTGAAATGTTAACTATAAATTAAAGTGATGTAGCCAGCAGTCAAACCCAAAAGAAGAAAAAGTTGAACGTAACTTCGTGGTAACTATGTGCGCCACCTAGGGGTGTCAGTTCGGGTCGGGTTTCGGTTTGGATAAACCGAAACCCGAAAAAATCCAAAACCGAAAACCACTAAAATCGAATCCGAACCCAATAAGGACTTGCGGGTTCCGGTTACCCAAAACTCGAAAATTCCTTATCGGGTTCGGGTTCGGTTAAAGAAAAATCGAAACCCGAAAACCCGAACGCCTAAAAATACGGGCTGAGTTCTATTCATTGGAGGTTTTTAGCCATAACCCGAAAACTGATAAGCAAAACCGAACCCGAAACCCAAAACGAACCCGAACCCGAAAAATCGAAAATGTATATAATCGGGTCGGTTTTGGGTAAACCCGAAAAACCGAACCCGAATTGACACCCCTAGCGCCACCTAGAAAGTATTAATTAATTTTAGGAATTGCATTAATTATTAGACAAAAAAATTTCGCATTCTATTTTATTAGTCAAATGTTAACTTTTAGTTAGCAATTTTGTTAGTTTTATTGACTTAGAAACACAATACTAACTTGGAAGAAACACATGGAGGTTAATATTTCAAAACTTTAGTATTTTAACTAAGAAAATAGTTATAAAATTATTAACGGTAACAAAAAAAGCTACTATTTTTTATGCGTTACAAAAGATTTGGATAATAATTTGTATTAACTCTTAATTTTATGGTGGTCCAAAGTTTGGCGAAATCTAAAAATGGCTCGTTTTTCACCATTATAAAAAAAAATGGCTCGTTTGGGATAGAAAATAACGCTTTTCGGGACGAAGGAAGTACCAAACCACCTCTGGTTGTTTGAGGTTTGGAAGATCTTGAAGAATTATGCGGAATAAAAAAAAATCGTTGCGATCGGATAACCGACCGCAAAGTTACGTTCGTTCGAAGTTTTGGCCTATGTTATTCGTTCACTGCTTCTGACGGCCGCGGTGAACCGTTCACCGCTTTTGTCGGGCGTGGTGATATTATTCATCGCTTTTATCGGCCGCGGTGATATTATTCACCGCGTCTGACGGCCGAGTGAAAGCCAAACATGTGTAGATTGGAAATATTTTCATAAACGTGTGTATTTAGGAATTTTTTTTAAAAACACACTTTGTTTGGAAAGGAAAAAAAATCCAGTATTATAGGAGTATAAAATATGATTAATCGATCAATAAAGCCTGCTTTCAATAAATAAAAAGTACATGATCCGATTTTGCTCCATCCAAATGAGTTCCACTTTCGCCATTATTTTAAGAGAAATTATGGAATCAAATTAATTCAAATTATAGTTTAGATTATCTGAATAGATTCATCAGTTACTCCAAATTAGAGTTTAAACTTTAAACACTCCATCCATCCAACAGCCTCTCAAACAATCCATCCATTTACATCCAATTGCACAACAGAACTCCATACTGCCAATTTTAGGAAATGATAAAAAGGAGGTGGTGAACCTACCAAACCAACAGTCTGACACAGGACTGAAATTTCAGTCCCAAAACTGGCAGCTCCGACGTAATATTTACAATGTTTTCCAAACAGAGTTGAATGTAATCAGGATTTGTACAAAGCAGTAGTGATGTCTCATGCGATAACAGTAACAGTTTTCAGGCAACAAGATCGGATGTAGTCTACTTGAACCAGATGCATCACCATGAACATCATTGAATCGGGCTACGGCCTTCGCCTTGTTGATGAGTGTGGCGACTCGTGTTAGTTCTCCGTTTCTTCCAGTCCTCATCTGATTTATCCCCAACACCTCCGCCTCCCTAACGTCCTGTGTTTCCTTTTAATCCTTCAACAAAAGCCAAATTCAATGTGCTTGACAAGTTCATAGGCACTTGTTGAGAATCTACACTGAATCATGCTGGCTAAGAAACTCAACTATTGCAGGGTAAACTTGCTCCACTGCCTGATATTGGGGGAACAAAAAGATGAGAATAAGAGGGAAGTCCTGTGCAAAAGGAAGGGAGTTGCTAAAGGTCGCCCTTAAAATTGCTAAAGGTCGCCCTAAAAAGAATAAAAGTTACACTTTTAACCCCCATAGCTTCTTTACCTTCCCTTCCTCAAACAAACATCACTTGGACTAAAAAAACACTCTCTAAGGAGAGAAAAATCTCTCATCGTCATTTTGAAGCCGATATCGTCGATAGGACGTCTGAATCATGAGTAGCGACTCCGACGAGGTAAGAACATGAACAAAAAAAAAAAAAAAACAGAAAATGGGAACCGCGGGTGATTTGCGGTCCGACCATGGTCCAACCGCAAGTGACCTGCGGTTGAACCATGGCTGGACCGCAAATCACCTGCGGTTGAGCCATTGGTGGACCGCAATTGACCTGCGGTTGGACCATGGTCGGACCGCAAATCACCTGCGGTTCAGCCATGGTCCAATCGCAGGTCAATTGCGGTCCACCAATGGCTTAACCGCAGGTGATTTGCGGTCCGACCATGGTCAAACCGCAGGTCACTTGCGGTTGGGCATTTTTTGGTTTTTTTTTTTTTTTTTTTCGTTGAATAATTTTTTTTTTATATGATTTATGATTGTTCCATGAAATAATTTGTTGGGTTTTGATTTATATAATTTATTAGATTTATTCAACCCTATTCCAGATGGACACTGTGGATTTCGAGCTATATCACAAGCAGCTACTGGGGACCAAAGGAATTGGCCACAAATGAGACGCGCTGTTCTAGAGGAGCTTGAATCCCGTCCTGAGCTTTATAGAGCCTACTATGATGGAATAGCAAATGGAATAGAAGATGGCATTCGACGTTGCAGGTGGGCATCAACAAGTGGCTGTGGACCTTTCAACTGGATGGATAATGCGGAACTCTTCGTCTTCGCCACCTTGCATTCATGGGCCATCGTTGTATACAGTCAAGGCGGTCGTTATACCGTGCTACCTGTGACGGCCCCACCAGGAGTAACAAGACCACGTGGGATCTTATCACTACATTTTACGGGGGATCATTGGGTGCGACTTGACTTTCGACATGGTCAAGTGCCCATGCCTCCAATTAACTACCTTTGGCCTATTTATCATGACCCTAGTGTCAATGGGTGGGATCAATTCTTCTTACATGAGCGTGCGCTTTATGATAGATTGAACCCACGGGGATGAATTGTATAACTCTCTATTGTATAACTCTCTATTTACGAATTGTATAACTCTCTATTGTTGAAACATTTAGTAATCTACCATGTTGATTAACTATTTTAGCAATGCATTGAATGTAACTAAAGTAAAAAAACACACAACCGTCTCAATTAAACTACAAACGATGACAAATAAAACACACAATAGTCATAGTTCAACTACAAACGATGACAAATAAAACACACAATAGTCTCAGTTCAACTACAAACGATGACAAATAAAAACACAATCGTCTACTGAGGCGGCTGCCCTACCAACTGATCGTACAACTCGAAAACTCCAGCTGCCATATCATAGAGCTTACCACCGTCCTCCTCCCACTTACTCCGGTCCCTCGTCTGCAACAAGGGGCCTAAACGATCCACAATCTGCTCTCTCAACTGTAAATAGAAAACAATGTTAGAATAAATAACAAATGTCCTTTATATTTGGAAAAGCAAAAGAAAGTCATAACTAACCTGATGAACTAGTAGTGGTCGAGGCTGAGGCTCCTCATCAGTGGGGTGGGTGATCCGTGGGTGCGATCTAGTCAGAAACCAGTCAACGTACTCCTCCACGATCTCCGATGGCTGCTCGCACGGCCGAGAAGCAAAATCCAACTCTAGACGACGAGCTGCCACGTTATTCCACAACTGATTCACCCACGGATCCCAAAAGACTATGTAACTGCTGCCGGAAGCCGGACGGTAATGGTCATGTGGTACCGTCATAGCAGCGGGGATAATCTGTCGGTATCCAAACTGGCGCAGACAACGTGAAGGATCGTATCCCTCAGCAATGTCAGAAAAGCGAATGGGGCCAGTATACAAGGAGCGGGGTATATCTGTGTGGCCATCTCGTCCGTACGGAGTCCAGGTCACATCATCAGCTGAAAGCTCATCCAACAACTGTCGATAACGTACTAACCTCTGTCTAGCCTCATCCCCACCTGGCAAACGGGGAGAAATCCACGAGGAAGCACGAGGTGCATCCGGAGACTGTGGCAGCTGGCTCGGACGGAAAAGAGGAAAGTACTCATATATCCAAGCCTGAAGCAGGGTCAAACAACCACAAAGACCCTTACTACCCGCTCGTGTGGCCACTCCCAACTGTCTGTAGAGATAGGCTAGTGCACCAGCTCCCCAAGCGTAATCAGCCAATCGTCGATGATCCTTCAGAAACAAGTTGATCGCAGGACGAAGGCGATCACGACTCTTATCCACAAAAAGCGTGGATCCCAGCAACACAAATAGGTAACACTGCACCTCCATCTCCTTAATCTTCAGCTCTCCCCCACGCACCAACAATCCCTCTGCATGCATAGCACCATTATCGTACCACTTCGACTTCCACTTACCACCAACCTGAGCATCCACCGAAAGTCGAACTAGACCACCCATGTCTGACTTAAGAGTATCCTGCGACGCCTCATCTCCCATCAGCTCTCCGTCAACCGGTATCCGAAGAATGTGATGCACATCGTGTAGAAGGATCGAAATCTCTCCAAACGGCATGTGGAAGGTGTTTGTGTCCGGCTGCCACCTCTCCACAAATGCCGACAGTAGAGCCATGTCTAAATGCTGCATCATGCACCCCGTCAAGTGAGACAATCCTGTGGCTTCAACCATCTCCTTGGAACCCTCTGCACTCCACTTATATCGCCTCAAAGTCTCTACAGCTCTCGGCCTATGGAAGCCGTCCAACACTCCACGGTCCTGCTCAGGGGAATTCCACAGTACCATAATCGACATTTTGCTGCTGCATTTCACTGTATTCAGTCCGTTCATTGCGCTCCTTCACCAGCACTACCTTTTTTACTTTCTTTATTTAAAACATAATCAACCAACCTACCTACTTACTTTCCCCTATCACTCCTCCATCTGTCTAGTTGCTTGGTTAACACACCATTTCGCGCTTACTTGTCGATTAAGATCTCTGGTACGGTTTTATAGAACATGTTTTTTTTCAGTGTGAGTAGAGACTTAATATGAACATTATATCACTTCTTTTGTACGCCTCATCTTAAAATGAAAAAAAAAAAGCATTGCTTAGTATGTTTAAAGGTTGTCTAGATCTATTATTATTTAGGATTTAAGTAAATTACTAGTGCAAAATATTTGAAATTTGGCACAAACTTTTTGATCATCTATAATAATTTTCATACTAACTACATCGAGAATCCATCCGTTTCAACAAATGAGTCTTAAATGCTACCATCCCTCAAATTAAAAGCTCATCCGTCGAGCTCAAGGTTCACACATGGACATATTGGATAGCTAAAGTCCAATAGAATGACTCATTCTTGATATCATACCAATGCATTTTTTTTTGTCTACTATAATAAGGTCATTACTGTGAATTGTGGCAACTTATAATATTGTGTGCTTGATTAATTTACGGTGTGTACTTATACAAACTTCAAGAATAAATTTTCTGAGTTACTGTGAAATATGTAAATATAAGATCCAATATACTCGAATTTCTCCCAATTGGAGCTGTATGATGACAAATATGGTTTGTTCACACCAGATAGTTTGGTTTAAGGAAACTAGTAACTGCCAGGATATGGGGGTTGAATCATTAGATGTTTAGCAATTCTTAGGGCGACATCATCATCCTCGTCAATGGAATCACTCCAATTAGCCTGCCATACCGGTGCGGTATCTGGTGTAGGAGTACTGGTAGTGCCTCGACTAAGAGACAACTGCCCCACAGTAGGGTGGCCGTCAGGACGCACTACATCCGCCTTCTTCTTCCTTCTAACCTTAGGTGGATTTTTTTCTTCATTTTCCTTCCTACCAGTCGCCGTAAGTCTACAAGCACGACCCTCCATTCTCTCCTTATTTCTCGCCTTAATCATATCCGGTTTACCCATTCCATGTCCAGACATCTTCAAAAAAAAGTTTGAATTATTAATAATGGAGTACATAAAGTAATTAATTTAAGATTTTCATAATTAAAATTATAAAACTAATAGTTTTAACATTTATGTTACGTTCTATGTAATAATTATTTACTTTTTAATCAAGGTAAAATTATTAATAATTAAGTAGATAAACGAATTACTTTGAAATTTTGATTATTAAAATGATAAAAACACATTTTTAATTTTTTTATAATGTTCTTTAAATTTGTTATCTTTAAATAACAATTATCGAATACGATTTTAATTTTTTTTTATATAACTAAATTATAACTAAATTAACATTTATCGAATACGTTATTATTAATTATCATTATAACTAAATTAGTATTTATCAATAATATAACTAAATTCTTTTATTATGTATATTTTTTTAATTTTTTTTATTATTATTAACATTAAACACAGAATTTAAAAAACAGAATTTTAAAAAAAAAAAGCCGAACCGCGGTCAACGCGCGGTTTGACCGACGGTCAACCGCGGTCAACGCGCGGTTGGACCTGCGGTCAACCGCGGTCAATGCGCGGTCCGACCAGCGGCTGACCGCGGTTGACCGCAGGTCCAACCGCGCGTTGACCGCGGTTGACCGTCGGCTCAACCGCGCGGTGACCGCGGTTCGTGCAATTTTTTTTTTTTTTCTTACCTTCTTCTCCACGCGGCTGGAGGCGACGGGGCGGCGACGGGAGGCGACGGGGCGGCGACGGGAGGCGACGGGGCAGGCGACGGGAGGCGACGGGGCAGGCGACGGGCGGCGGCGGGCTGGCGGCGGGAGGCGACGGGGGCGGCGGCAGGGGGCGGCAGGGGGCGGCGGGCTGGCGTCGCCGGCGGTGGCAGGGGGCGGCGGGCCGGCGGCGGGCTGGCGTCGCCGGCGGTTGAGGGGGAGGGAGTGCAGAGGTGAGGAGTTGGGGGGAGGGGGAGGGAGAATGAATTTTTGAATTTGCCTTAAGGGCTTGTTTGTTTTGAGTTTTTGCTTAAGGGCATGTAGGTAATTTTATATTTTAGTTAGGGCGATGTTTAGCAATTCTTAGGGCGACATTTAGCGATTCAGAAAAAATATTGCGAGAACAATCTTTCTGCAATAAAGAGCTAAAAAAATAATAAGGGCATACCAGTTGTCCTCCAACCAAGTCGTAATGCGCATAGTGAGGACCTCCTGATTCTCCAAAGACTTTGTAGGTCGCCAAATGTTTGGGGAGAACTTTGACGGTTTCTGAAAATCATAGCCCGGTGAGCAATAAAAGCATACCAATTTATCCTTTTAAGAACAGAGAAGATTTGAGGGGAGAAAAAACCTTCTACAGCTTCCGGTGGACAGATTAGATCTTGATCACCTGCCAAGGCCAAGACTGGGATATTGCACTTATGTAAATGGTCCTTGTAGAGAAACCCGCCACTCCTGTCACGCAATCCACCCTCTCGAAAAGCTGTTGTAAGCTGCAGAAGAAGTTTGGCTGGTATGGTACCTGTCACTCATAAGCACACCAAAAGTTGTTCAAATCATACTAGAGACTAAGGGATACAAGATGGGTAAAGGTTAAAAATTCAGAGAAGCATAATACCACACACAACTAGAGCTGGACATCCTCAAAAATGGGTAGGAGGGTTTTTCATACTCACAAAAGTTGTTCAAAACAAGCTTTTCTAGCAGTTCTGGGTGCATCATATCTTGTGCTGATATAAGATGGTTGAGCCAAGATAGCGCATAAGGAGGACGAGACGAAAGAGGAAATGCCGCTGCCAACATTGCCCCCAAAGGAACAACAGGTACATTAAGAGCCTGAGCAGGATCAGCCTGTAACCAAAATTTATAAGCAACGCTCTAATTTCCTTTGAAGATATGCCTTCTTATAAAGCTACAACAATTACTTGGTAACTGACAATACTGTATATTGTGTCCACCTACCAGTGGTATAAGTAACTTGAGCCTTGAATTCGAGGTAGTGTAGTCAACTGACGATGCCAGAGTAACAATAGCAGCAAAGCCAGAGTCGTTTCCTTCAAAACCTTACAATATCATAGATGAGTAACTAGAAAAAATCCTTTTCTTCATCACTCACAGCACAGGCACACACAGAAGCACAAAAGAAAAAGAAGGAAATTCAGTAGTGATCAAATGAATATATTGTATGTGATATGCACTAAACCAACAAAACCCCTTCATAACAATCTGAGATATTACAAAGGCAATCGGAAGAGGGTTTGATAAATCCAAGTCATACCAAACTGACAATCTGAATTAGCTCTGCCACTACAGCGACAAATCAACCTCAGTAGTCATGTCTCCACCAAAGATGTATCAAAATCATTTATTTTCACTTTTTGGCATGGATGTATTAAAAAGCTCCTGAACGAACAGGAAGAAGGTGTGAACAACACCAGTTCACAGCCAAACACCTTTGAACCTCACCACGTAAAGTTTACAACCCCGTGTTAGCAAACCAAAGTCTGAAATAAGCTATTATACCTCGCCTAGAGAAGGAAACTTTAATAGCACTCGAGTACAAAATTAATAGCATGACAGATTGGGAAGGGGGGAAATAAGCAAAGGTGGTATCTTACCACACCTTGACGTTCTTGCGTACAGCAGGATGCCTCCCATGGAATGTCCTATTGCAAGCAACTTGCCATCCTTTGGTTTGCATTCTGCCTTTATATATTGCATCTGCAACAATTAAGAATGAGGATTATGTGAGGGCTGACACATAGCTTTTGCACATTGCAGATGGATCTAGATATATTATAACAGGCAAATATTTGTTGCATATGACTTGTCATCAAGATAAAATGTCACCTCACCGCAGTAGGAACATCCTCCTCAAGGTAATGGTCGAAGTCCCAATCATACTTAACAATAAGGTCAAGTTGTTTCTGAAAATCTTCTACAGTTGACGTAAGACGATCATGCAAATCAGACAACTGAGGCGAGACGGACTTTTGACCTTCCTCAGCAATATTTACAAGTGTCTGGCTTAGCTCCCTGATCTGACTGGCAACACCAGAATTTTGCCTCGTCTCCAACAAGCTCAAAAGCTTTTCCCGCAACTCATTTAGGCGCTCAGATAACTGGGTATCTTCTAAAAGTGTTGATATCTGGTCAAACAATTTAGCTGACATTATCATGGATTGACCTTCACTAAGAAAGCCAGAGAGACTGTCTGACAAGGTCATGAAAGTATCTGTCAACTTGGACACCAACTTAGATTCATCCCAAGCAGTTGATAGTCCAGTTGGGTCCTCGGGAACTGATGAAAGCTCAGAACTTGGTGATGTACTTTGAGCAGCACTTGCAGTTTCCTGGCTTGATGATGGATCTCCGTTAGTTACACTCTTAGCAACAGACTCCATCTGCTCGGAAGCAGACTGCCTACCATCTTTTGCAGTTGCCTGATTCGCCGACAGAGACCCGGTAGTTACACCCTTAGCAGCAGATTCCATCTGCTCAGAAGCTGCATATGCAGACTCCCCAATATTTTTGGCATCTGATTCCCGTACACTCAGTCCAGCACCTCGGACTTCAAGAATCCAGGTGTCATACCCCTGGCCAGACATGTACCTTGCAAATGATGACTGCAGACATACACAGACACGTGAGATGGGCGCAGACAGGGAATTTGATGCCCCTCATCCAATACTATATTCAAACAGAAAACACATGTGAGACTCAAAAACTGACTGGTGGAGAAAACAGCTGCTAAGCTCTTATTCAATCTGAAAAATAACTTCTCTTCAGCAAGAAGAGCTAATACTAAACCACCATCATGACAAATACTAATACTTCCCATTTCAGCACTTGAAAAATGCCAATTCTCAACATAACAGGAACAATCAACTCAACAGTTAGCCTTTCATGGAAATTCCATTATACAGAGGGCATAGCAAACCATCATGATCGTTAGTCAGCTTTCACCAAACGAGGTTTGCATGCAGATCCCAAATTGACACATGCCAACCAATGAAACCCCCCATTTCGAGGAGAAATTCCAAATGTCCACAAAGATGGCATAGGATCGCGAAATGGGAAGTGGAGAGTTAGTTACCCCAGGAGAGAGGTCATAACCAATGGCATTAGTCCCGACTCCAGACAATAGCAACAGTGGATGATTCCTTGGAGGGGCCTGGAAACGACGAAACAGACAAAACAGGAAGGAATGAAAGAGAATAAATACACGAGAAAATTCGCGGGAAGTAAAACAAGAGGGCGAGAATTACCTGAGGACAAGGGTGGTAGCGCCAGAGAGCAAGGCGCCAATCGGAATTGGGGATGGTGACATAGTGAAGCTCGTCGGCACTGCAAATGGGAGGCTTCTCGGGGAGTTTAATCGCTGACTCCGAAGGTCCAGTGGAGAAAGCTCTCAACCTGAACAACGACGACGAAGATGACGGCGCTCGTGAAGCAGCCGCCCCGCAGGAAGAAGGGAACGGTCGAGAAGAAAGAGGCAAGCGGCGGCGAGGGAGAAGAAGATCAGGATTGACGAAGAAGAGATTTGCGGCGTTTACAGCGGCACGTATGTCGAATTGGATTGGAGCCATGTTCATCGGAGTCGATGATGGTAGTTCCAGAGCGAAAGTGAGATAAATTGTTTGAATGGGTGGTGGGGGCTTCGACTGGGAATTGGCTATGGCCCGTGTCTGGAAGCTGAAATATGAAAGTTTCAGAACTTGGAAGAAGTTTGCTTGGATTATGGTTTCGTTCTGGAGAAAGTAACGGCAAAATACATACATAGCTTCTTCTTCTTTTTTTTTCTTTCTTTTAACAGGAATACATACATAGTTTTTTTTTTTTTAATTATAACTAGTTTGGTCTCCCAAGTCCCACTGTCCCACCGATTGGTAAGTTTCTATCCTAATCTTTTCGAATTGGGTTAATGCCAATTTCGTCCAACTTCGTTAATAGAGTCCGTTAAGGACGTCCCATCGATTGATTAGTTTAGTCTTTGTCCAACTTCGTTAATAGAGTTCATTAAGAGCTAACGTGGCAAACGTATCACCTAGTCAACCAGATTTAACCCAACAAAAATAAAACCGACCCTCCACTTCATTAAAACTACCCAACCTATGACCCAATCCTTTCTCTTCTTCTCTCTTTTCTTTGAATGATTGGATACAGATGGATGTATAACCTTGGGCATCAAATTATCCACTTTGTCATTCCCGTGGAGCCTCTAATGAATTAAGCAGGTAGCATCACCATTCCAAACCTACCAAAATCGGCAGGTAAGGTTAAGGGAAAGGGATAAGTGCCTAGGTGCATAAATGCATAATATAACAAACAAAAGAGAACCAAAAACATAAAATAAATTAAGAGACAAAGTGAAGGCAGATGTCAGAAGGCCAGACTCAGTTCCCCCTATCACGTCCATTTAAACTTGTACATTGCACCATACAATACAACAATGCTGATCTCTGCAACAGCCCCTACCCAGAAACTGGATCCAGCAATAAATACACCACAACCCGGAACTGAAACTTCTTCCTACTCCCACCGTTTTCAGCCTGATTCTTGGCCGGTCTTTGGTCTTCTCTCTATTCACATGCCAGCTTGGTGTCAAAGCTGCTCAAGCATATCGCAAAAGCTTGAAACGCAGACAGCGGGTACCGGTAATCCATGGTGAACATATCCTTCCCAACTTTCCCAAATTGCAATATTAGCTTATCATGATCAGATTGTGACTGAGTCGGCTGCCCACATGCTGTTGCAGCTGGGGGAGCAGCTGGCTGATTTGCCGCAATCAGCTGGAAGTTCTTAACCGAGGCCACAGTCACTCTGCCTCGGAAGTTGAGACACCAGCATTGCAACTGCTCGTGCCACCTGGGCGCTTTATTCCGCAGAATCACCGGCCCGTCATCTTTCGCTTCGTCTTCTCCACCTTCTCCTCCATCGCGGTGTCTATCGAAGAAGCGGGAGCTGCTGAACTCGCTCGAGCTATCGATTATCGACTTTGACAACGACATGCTTCGAAATGAGTCTTCGAGGGACCGTGGGAGCAGGATCTCAGGTTGGCCCGGGACCGAACCGCCGGGCTGGAGGGATGATGTTGGGATGGAGCACATGGTGCATTGCATCCTACGGGGTCCACGAGTACCCAGCACGTTCAGCTCGTATGAGATCTGGGCAATGTTGTAGCTTCCCGTGGGGACCTTTGGCGATACTTTTTTCGAGTAGAACCTCCGGCTTATACCGGGTGGAGGGGGGAGCTGTGAGTTGTTGTAGGACGGCTGGGTGTCATAAATTATGAACCTGGTTCCCAAGAAATTTGACCTGGGAAAGAAAAAAGAAGTAGAAATGTTTTAATATAGAAACTTGTGGTAGAAGGCAATCCATGAAGAACAAAATAGCTTCCGAACATAGATAGTGTGATCTAGATAGAAATGATGTTGCCATAGAATTGACCTGACATTCATGTTTCAAAATGATTAAAGAAAATATCATAGATTGAAAGGGATTTCCTTCATTTCCCCCTTCGTTTCAGATGCAATATACAAATAGAGATGGAATCTTACCTTAGTTTCCCTATATATGTACCACTCGATCTTGATATGTTGTCAGCATCCATGGAGATAATGTACTCTGTACAAGTAGTTCTGCGGGTTCTTTTAGCAGAGAGAAGGAATTTCCCATTTTCAACCAGCAAGGCTGCAAAAAAGAGACCCCAGAAGAGAGGAAGAGATGAAGATGCAGAACAGAAGTGATGAGTTCACGATGGGTGCAGAGGACTTCAGTCACAGCCCACAGCCATACTTTAAATGCCAATTCACAGCAAGTTTAAAATGTGGAAGAACATACAAACACACACACGGAAGATAGAAAAAATCAAATGCATATTTGATGCTTCCATTAACACATTCTTCCAACAATATACTTCTCATTGATCACCATAGACAGAGAATAGTAGGTCAGCCTGCTGGGGAAAGCAGCTTAATGTTGGCTCAAAATTAAGACAAATATCATTCTAATGGCACCACAGACGTTCTATTTCAATCGACCTCCACTGTAAGTGGAGCTTCTTGCCTACTCTGAGTTGCCACTGCATCTCTCTGATAAAGGGAATTTTGCAATGCAACTTTCCCACAAATATTGGTAAAATTGTAAGAGGGATGAGACCCAAGAAGCCAAGTGGAGGTGCAGAGGCACAATTAATCATAGACAGAGAAGCTCTCAACCATAAGATTGGACAACAAATACAAATCAAATAGAGAAAAGCTTACCAGGGCTAAGGCAAAGGAAAAGATGGTAAGTTAACTTGGACTTGTCTCTCTTAATGAAGCACTGGATGAGCCCATCCCTGTGGCCAGGCTGCAATCAACAACAACAATTGTATGTGTCAATAATAGCTCCTCAGCTGCATTTTTTACCATTTCAATAAGAATGCAAAACATTTATCTGAACCATTCTCACCTGCTTCAGGGAAACCGGGAAAGTAATCTTCCCAGAGAACTCTGGACTCCTAACAAGTTCTCTACACATTTCTCTCCATGCTTTGCAAACTGCAGCACATGCAACAACATGCTTGCGAGCAGGCCAAGTGCCTTCACTTGCCTCCAACCTCTTAATTACATCACGGAGTAACTCAGGTGGAAGGCTAGCCCATCGACTACTCTGAATAACCACCAGCTGCTGGTCATTTGAGTCGATAATAGAGCCATGAGATTTCCCTCTATTATGATGACCTGGCAGCCTTACATCAAAACTCCGCCGGGATAAGCTCCCAAACCCATCTCTGACATCACGTACTATGTTGCGAAACGACATAAGTTTTGCCTGGTCGGATCTTCCAAGTCAACCCCTCCTTAATGGTGTATCTCAAACCAGAACTGAATTTGAATAGCTCGATAACCATCCACCAAGAGAAGTAACAGAAACTGCAAATCATGATTTTAAGTGCTTGCTTCAGACTCTCTAAGTAATGCAAATAGCCAAGAGGGAGAAAAGGGAAAGGAGACAGGCATGGGAAAAGGCACTTAGCAAGTAAAGAAGATTCCTAAAGAACTCACATGTATACGTTAAGGCACTTAGCATACAATTATTACGAGGGGCATCTGAGCCCAAGTCTATACTGAAATTAAGAATCTTAACAGCAGGAAAAAAGAAACAAGTAACGTATTTCATAGCTGTGATTCGATACCCTTTTAACTTCAAATTTCCAGAATCTTCAGGCATGAAACACCAGTCACCAAACTAATCAGTAACCTCGTCAAATGCACTAAAAGCCCCAATCCAAGAACCACCCACGAAGTGGAAATGGTTCAGAATCACAAACCGGAAGCCAATTTCACTTCTTCCCGGCCATTAAAAATGGGAAACCCTTCCAGCGACTGAACGAGAAGGGGGAAAAAACGAGTTTGACTTCACAAAATCACCAAGACCCTTCAAGTGACCTAACATCAGCTATAAACAAAACCAGCACGGCAATAAAGCAAGGACGAGATTCAGTTTTCCCAGAAACAAACAGAATGGATAAATCCAGGGAAAAGAGATCTGACCCAGAGAAAAAGTCACCGCGACTCTCCACCACCAACGCCGCAAACACTCTGAATCTCAGAGTGTATGTCTCTCTTTCTCTCTATCTACATGAGATCTTCTGCCTTCATCTCCAATTGACTAAACGGCGTTCCTCTCTATATGTCTCTTTCTCTCTTCTGGGCAGCTTCTCTTCTTCCTTTCTATCTCTACAGAACCCAAGACTTCCCTACACGCGTGTTCCAGACCGGCAACGAAATCCAGTTTTCACGAACCCACTGATGTCGAAGTTTAACTACTTTACTTACTTTTCCTTTTGTTTTTTGTTCTGTTTATTAAAATGAACTAGCTTTTACCCGACCCGTTGGTCGGATCAATTTCATTCTATTTCGTATAATTTATTTTATCAATATTTATGATTTACTTGATTTGGGATCTTTAATTTTATATGATTCACGAAAAATATTTGTGGTTTTAAGAGTTGACAATGACGTAAAAGGATAGTCCAAACTATTATATTGACCAAAATCTCAAATATTTGAAGTATTTATTTGGAATTTTATTAAATAAAACACTTGTTGATTCAAATATACAATCGTCTGTCGTGAAAGTGGGATTTTATGAAAAAAGATTCATGACTTCATAAAGAAAGAAAACCAATTTGATATTCAATAACAAATGTGAACATCGTTTGGATCATATATTTCAGTTATGTATTTGGTATCTAAATTCAACACATGCGAGATTTGTCTAACTCCTAAATTTGGAAGTAGGTGCTAAAACTCTATTCAAATCAAAGGTCAAGGATGAAAAGTTTTGCTATCGAATTTGAAATTTGTTGGTCCCCATTAATTTGGAATAAGTGACATCCATAAATTAGATTTGTAAATCGAGCATTCAAAGAGACCGATGGGAAAGACATAAAAGTAAAGAAAACAGTAAAACCATCCAATCTTTACTTTAAAAAACAATAGATGCAGCAGCAATCCGATATCATCAAGATAGCTAATATGATTTAGGATGATTTTCATGACCTGGGTGGCTGGGTCAATCAAGGATCAAAGCATGACCACAACAAAGTAAGGAATTGAAAAGTTTGCTATCTGATTATATCGTCATATAAAAAAGAAGGTCCCGGACACTAACAAATTCAAAAGGGCACATCCAAGAGTACACAGTTAATAGATTGCCACTTGCTAAATCCAGAAATTCATTGCAAGTCAATTTCATGCAAGTTTTACATCACAGCTTAAAAAGTACAGCGTCGAAGAAGATAAAACAAACGGATTAAATATATGACCCAACTGTATTAATTAAGATCTCAAGTGCAATACATGTATTTTTTACATAGACGTTCTATATAAATCCTACTGCAAGTATTTGTCTTCGCTTGATTCTACCCTACTACAAAATTCTGAATAAAAGTGCAGAACACAAAACATCTTACTGAAGCACATCTATCTAAAGGACAAACTGGTAAAATGAAGGGACACAATTCCTATGTTGTACAACCTGCCATGATATGTAAGATGATAAGTGGAGGTTTGAAGCGACAACAAACAGAGAAGCAGCAAAAATAAAGAATCTATGCAGAAATTACAGATTTCTTAATCAGTATCAACACTTTATAATCACTGAAACTGCTATATCAATACATACATAATAAGAAGCTGAAAAACAACAAAGTTAGGAATCATAATACTACCTTTGGTTACGAAATCCATGGGCATTGGCTAAACCAAACACCCTCGTGCATCTCAAATTCATGAACATATACTTTTTTCTCTATACTTCAGTTCGTAGGAAACACCTATAGCAACAAATGGAATGGAACCTATAAAATGGAAAATTAAAAGATCAGAACAGTGAATGGGTAGGAACGAATACATGGGGAAAATCACCTAATTGATTTTAGATGAGTATCCATGTACTGGTTGGAACTGACAATTATCCTATGAGTATCCAAAATCAAATTAAAATACCAACCATACCTGAAAACAATACCAATATAACAAATAAAAAATTAAACTCTTAGATGAATATGAAAGGTAATCACAAGTTACAATCCCTAGGCAACACAAACCTGGATTCATTCTAATTTTAGAAACCAAAAACGATTTGTGATTGACCGTGTAAAATGATATAACACAACATCAGCTATAAAAATGAGAGATTCAAGGGAGAAAAAAGTACCAAGAGAAAGCTCGTTCATAAAGAGCACAAATCTCATCATCATGAGAATCGCCAATCGTGTTTGATTATATCATTTTTGTTGGTCCTTTTTGTTGCATATATGCTCTTCCTCCTGAAAGGAAAAAAGGGGATCAACTAATCATAATCATCGGGCGTAAAAGACATACACACATAAAAGAACTGGAAACACTCTTCCCTGAACACCAATACAAACAATTAGCATAGCATATGACTTTAGTTCCTAGCACACCTTGTTGATTAAGAAGGTGACTACTCTTACATGGTAGTTGTCGTTTCTGAAATGTCCACATCAATGTACCCAGCCACTGCATAAGAACTCGGATAATAAGGCCATTTCTATGAGATCATGCATATCGTGCAGGTAAACATAATAGCAACGTAAGAACTCAATAATCCGAAAGCTATTTGAGTTAAAAAACGCGAGGTCTGGAAGATATAAAATGGAGCCAAACACATCCAAACCACCATTGATGGCAAGCACTTAATTAATAAGTTGAACTCGGCAAGTGAAAGCTTCCTAATGTGCTATTTGGAAGGTAAGTACCCAAAACTGGCATAAGCTCATTAACCTGCGAATAAATCACAAGAAATTAAACAAAAAAAAATTAAGAAAGCAGAAGCAAAGAGAGAAGGTCACCACTATGTCGATTTCGTTATTCCTTCACAATCGTAATAGAGTTCTTCACCTTTTCGATTTTGTGCGTCTTCTTATTCCTCCTTCCAATGTCGTTCTCTTTTCCTTCTATGTCTTTGTAAACTGCGACCAGGGGATTTGACCAGGGAAAATTAATTCTCTGCTGTTGCTTCTGTTGGTTGCGTCGAGCGCGAGACTTTATACCTGTCTAAAAAAAACTTAACAACAAATAATCACAATAATTAAATATTACCCAATTGCAATTAAACTGTCCCTAAGTGATTAACCACCTAGAGCACTAATCAACCTTCTTAGCCTATAACTAGTTGAGGCCTGTTACTTAGGCTAAAAACTAATTCCTAACCGGCAGGCCTTATGAGTGGCCCGACTGGGCTTCTAAGCCCAACTGTTAAGTTCTAGCGGATGGAATAATTCTGGCCACTTCGGCCCAACAAACAGTCAACTCAGTCCACCAACTACGTGGCCTAAGCAAAACGACCGTGGTTTGAATTCAAGCTACTGCCTCCCTCCCTCTTGCCAATTCGATCCAGGAGAAGACCTCCTTCTATTCGACCAAGAACAGAAGACAGAAAATTAAGAACACTGCAATATAACCTGTGACAAGAATAAACCAGTTAATCCAAACTAAGCTTCAACGAGTTCCTCAACCCAGTCCAGGCTCCTCGTCGCCTTCCCTGTGTCTCTAGAACCGAGCTTCCCTGCAGAGTCAGACCAGTAACAGGAAACAAGCAGAGAAACACTCACAGACTGAAAATGAAAAGCAGCAAACAAACCCGGCACACGATTTTTACGTGGTTTCCAGTATTGGGAGAATGAGGATCCCAATACTGACTACTCCACGGTCAGAGAATCACGATTGTGTGATCTCTGACGATTCACTATGATATAGCGATGACGTTCTTCGTTACAAGCAATCTACCCAAGAGCCCTTTGATCAATCTCTACCCGATTGATCTAACTCTCTTTTCTCAAACCCGAATTGCTTCCCCAGCAACTCGAAACCAGTGTTTCCCCAACACTAACCCTCAAAGCAGTTCTCCCCGAACCCTTTCAGAAACCCCTTTCCTATCACTCTAGCTATTCTCACAAAATCCCCTTTTGGCTTAGCTAGTTTTGATCTCTTGAAAGGTTATCATTGGTGGTTCTTCAGGTCGCCTTTTATAGGGAGGAATATGACCGTTAGTCATTCAAATTCCTTCCCTATTTGTGCTGATTTGATTGAGAACTCAATCCTCTAATTTGATTGGTAGTGAGTTGGTCATTTGAGCCTCATTGTGCACTGTTGTATCCAATCTTCTTGATCTAATTTCTTCTCTAATTTTTCAGCCGTTAGAACCTTCCTTCTTTGTGTTGATTTGCTAGGTAGCAAATCAGCATCTTTGAGCATAGCTAGCCATTGAGAAGTTCTTTCCTTTATTGTTCTTGCTGATTGCAGAATCTCTCCTCCTTTATGCTGTCTTTGATTTTCTTTCCTTTACTTACAAGATTGCAGCATTTTCCTTCTTTGATTGAGGCCATTGATATGCTTGACTCAACATACTCCCCCTAAGCTTGTCAATGGCCCAATATATAGCTGCTGTATACTGCACACTTCAACAAACAATTTGGTGCAGCTTGTCCTAATAATATGCTTAAAAGAATACACATAAACCAAAAACAGCAAGGAATCATTTTCTTCAAAGGCAACGAAAATCAAAGAACATTTGATACTTGGATGAAGTACAAACAACTGGACGGACACTCCCAAAATAAACCAGGACTCTTAGACTTTCCAAAGAGTAGTTATGGATCTCCCCCTAAACCTAATCGCTGATACTCCTAGTAAGAATACTCTGGAGAAGACATGAATGCTATTTCAGCAGCTTTGCCTTTGTCTCCCCCTGGGACATTGACGAGCTTTCAACGGGACAAATGACAAGCTGAACTGGGAAAAATTGGAGATGGGGCAGTTCGTATCAACCCAATTAAAGGACCCATTAAATAGAAGAAGATTGGATTCTATCGCATCCACCGTCATGAGATTCGAGCTTCCTTTGGGGAAGATTTGAAAGGGAATCTTTACGAAGAATTGATAGAGCTTGAGCTGTTAGGGATTTTAGGATGCAGCTCGACACTAGAGGAAGAAGGAAAGGCAAACTTTACCTTCCTTGAATCACACGAACGAAATTAACACAAGGGAATCGGCTCACAAAGCCTGATGAGCGGCTCTAAACTTAGGAAAATTAAATTAAAGATGTTGGCTCAAATTTTGCACAAATGCTAGGGAATTTGATGATATTTTTAGAACTTAGGAAAATTAATTTGAGCCTCAACAGCACAAGCTAATTATAACCTAAATCTTTAAGCTCACTAGAAAGTAGAAGTCCAAGTTCTCGACGAATGGTCAGAAACTGATCCACACTAAGAGGTTTAGTAAAGATATCAGCCCATTGATTTGTCGTAGGCACAAACT